ACATATCTATGATATACAGAATTGCAGTGCCTCCGACATGAGCATGCCCATGCACCTACTAATATATGGAAAAACATTATCAAAACTGGCAATGCTGTGTCACCTGTTACTTCTGCTTCTTTGCAGCAGCCTTTAGCATGGCGGAGGAAGACTCTATTTCGATGATACTGCACAAGTTGAAGAGCTAATAATGTCGTTTTATTATTTGTATTCCCATGGAGCATCCCGAAGGAACTGCATTATGGGTAAAATAAGTTGAAAGCAACATCCATGCTTGCATACAGCTCCGACTCAAGGGAAGTATTTTAAGATTCAAAGGTTTCATTCTTGAATGACTTCTGGGAAAAACTTCCCCTTCCACCAATAGGACCAGGGTTGATGAGTGAAAGGGTAACCAAAGGGGCCGTAGAAATTGAGGAACTGTAGGGATGATTTGACTTGAGTCCCCCTTATAGTCCCAGCTTGACCCGTCGAGTCCAGGGATCTCGACAAACATGGCATACTGCTGCTGGACTTGTATCCCACCTTCACTGTCCTTGTCTCCCCAGACTGGCAGCAAGCTCCACATACTTGGTGCTGTACTCACAAGGATTGTGAATAAAAGTCTTCATTGATTGGCTTTGATCAAAGGAAGGAAGACTCGCCTCCATCAAATATAAAAGCAGTATTTCTGTAATCTTTCTGTATATATTTCCAGTATATCATGGAACCATAAAAGCTTGCTCATTTGTCAAGTCTACAAACAGAGATACATTGCCATTTCAAAGCGCTTGCTGACAATGTGTCGAATCAGCATCATGAACAAAATATCATTTTTTTTCTTCCCAGTTTCTGCATGGGGCGTGATTTAAGATCCATGTAAGGGAGTGACCCATGTTCCCCACGTCAAAACCAGATGACTTCAATTCTCCTATCATTTGATGGGCATTTGGAAACTTTTTATCATCAAAATTATAATCTCCATATGCTTTCGAAAATATTTGCCATAAAGTTCAAAGAAACCTTTGGAAATTTATTTTTGCTGATTTCATTTTGTGTAAAGTTAAAACAGTTAATTGTTTGGATTTGGTCTCTAAATTTACATGAATGTCCACATTGGATTTTGCATCACCTCAATTCATCTGGTATGTGGGGTGAACTTTAAAACATTTTTTGTACATATGCTCATGGATTTCATAGCATTATCAACTTTACACACAAAATACATAAAACTGGTGGAAAGATTTTTCAGGATTCTGGTAATGGTTTGAAATATATGATGCTTTAAAAACACATCTTGTTATTATTGTTTTCATTGATGCTCACATGTAGAGGAACAGGAATTGTCGAAAAACATAGATCCCAACTCCTTTTTAGACTGAACCAGTATCGTTCAGAACTGGGATAAACACTTCTTTGCCCGTTTCCTTGGCAACACGGAGAGGTGATGATATGTAGGGTTGTAGTGGCACATTCAGTTGTTCTACTGGCCAGTCGATATTATTAATAATGTGCACTTCCCCATACCAGTGGGCGTCTGTTAAAGGGAAACAGTCAAAGGGGGACAAAACCATTGTTCTTGGGCGTCCAAACAATATTATAACACCGTGCATTTTTGAGGAGATAGATTCTTTTATCTCCAACTTTCCTCTATGCAATAGCCATTTTAAACAAAAGGCTGTTTGAATCTTTTCGATTCACAAGTCAAGTCAGGTGCACTTTGCCAGTTGTTGAGGGAAATGTCACTGTTAGATAAGAATCATCATCGTTGTCTGCAGAGAGAAAGTGATGCTTCTCTGACTGTAGTCAAAATATACATGCCCCAACTTGTGTCGAGAAGGTCAAAACAGATTTAGATCTATATCGAGAACTGGCTTTTCCTTATGAGAGAGCGGCATATCAAAGTACTAACGCTAAGATGAGCAACTACAACACCTATTCTAGAAGTATTCTTCCCATTTTACGTTTTGGAATTGCCATTTTTTCAAACACACGTTTCTGATGAAAGGACACGAATCAGCTTCCCAGCCGGAACCGGAACAGAATTTATAGTGTCTATTTATATCTTGGGATTGCCCTCTTCAGTCTGTAAGGGCACATTAAAGGGGCGCGATGTTTCTGACCCAAATTTCACAGATAAATTGTTCATTGTGTACAAAATTAAATTCTTAGAAATTGCATTTTAAAACCATAATTCCATACCATAGTCTGAAAGAACTTTTCACCATTTGAAATATTTGGAAGTATCGCGCGAGCCAGAATGCGTAACCTTTAAAACCTCTATTACGGCCTCAATAATTTTTCCTTGCAGTGTTCTTGCTGCTGAGGGCACTGCCTTGAGCCTGCGCATGTCACGTGGGCACTTTGATCACATGATCTTATTTGACCGATGCGGGGCACTGTTGGGGTGTAAGAACGTTTCTATTCTCCTAAGTTTATTCCACCTGTAACCTAGCTACGCAGCTGGGAAATAACTAAAACCTGTTTATTTCATCCCATACTAAAAAGACAAAAATAGGTATATTCGGGAAATTTCCAGTCCCTGCCAACAAACATCTTAAAAGTTATCTGAAAATCTTTGAAAAACGCACATTTGATAAAGTTACTTATATTTTGTCATGCTGTCTTTTCTTCTTCTTTTCCCTCGTTGTACTACTTGCCAGTCGTGTGTGTAATGTGTATTTCCCCTATACCAGTCATCAGCTCCAGTGTGCTAAATAGTTTCCAGATTTTGCTAGGGAATCGGGCTAGCTATGCCTGAAAGTTACTCGATCTCCACACAAAATAATTCACTAGCCCTAACGTTGAAAGGCAAAATTTGCTTCAATGTGGTGACATATTTACAAAATGATCTCGTGAAAATACGCACCAGCCTGTCGGGCCAGTAACTGGAGATTTACTGGCCCAACTGGATTTTACTAGCAACGGGCTAGCAGGCCTAGTGGCTATTTCACACGCTGGTCAGCTAGCCGTCAGTAGACATATCTTCTTTTTTTTAGAGAGCAAACCCCTCTTTCAGATAGTTTCATAATGTGGCTGGTAGAAGTTCAATCACGAGAACAAACAAATAGCAATAATTTGATACTACCTAGTACTGGTTGTACCTTCTCAGATGCACTGAACATGCCGAGAGAAAACAAAAATATAAACATATCGCTCCTACTTGTACGGGGTCATACGCCAAGCTTTGAACCGAATTTCAGTTGTCTGGTCGTATCAGGTTGCAGGACAAAAGCTAGTCTATATCACGGTCCCTGAACTATTATTTTCTCCTCCACACAACCCTTTATCCAATAAAGCAAATGCAAATTTCCTCAGATTATTAATTTCTTATCTCACTTGGGCTCCTTCTCAATTTAAAAAGAAATATTTGTTTCTATTAAATAAATATATATATATATTCAGTCTTCACAGAAGTACCTTTATCACTACTGAATACCTATGGCAGGGAATGTTGGTCTGGGTATTTCTCATTACCATGGTATCTTTAGTCTGTCATACAGCCCATGCACGTCCAGATAACCAATTTCAGGGGTCTGTACAAATCTGCTGAATTCACAAGCGATGACACACCCATTATCAGCAAATCTATACCTGTCATTAGTGTTTGTATTACCACATGGTGAAGCTCCGCCTTCACTCTCCAAGATCCCAGAATGAGCCAAGACCTCCTGTTCCTTCTCTGTACCTGCCCCTACACCCAAACAGGCATGATTTAGGGCTGCAACGGTTCACATAGACCTCGATTCGATTCAAATTTTGATATTGGACCCTCAATTCGATTCGATTCTTCATACAAGTAAAAACATCAGATTTCATTTAATGCAGAGTTTATTAAACAAAACACATCACACTGAAAACATTTTCCAAGATTTGACAAGGAAATCAGGAATGTAAATGATGCAACCTTTTTCAAACAAATAGAATAAGATGTTTAAACACAGAACAGCACTTTTCACTTTCTTGCCCCATGTCAAGGACCACAAAGTTGATAAAGTAAAATTTCAAAAGTAAACCCATACTGAGTGCTCTCAGACTCTCAGTGCAGATCATAAATGTAAATAAAGTCAAATTTCAAATGTGTGGAAATAATTTAAATAGATATTCAAATATTGAAGCGAAATATTGATAATGGCTACGAAAATCGAAACTAAGGTGTCAGATTTGATTTTCAATGAATCGAAAACGAAACGTTGCAGCCCTAGTGTGATTACATGGAAGACATACTGAATCTCTGTATTTTCTTTAGCAGTGTAACCTATTTTCAGATCCCATGCATGAACTGGCAATCCTTTCTCAAGTTTTAGACTTCTGGATGGGATTCCATCCATGACTGAATAACAGTGGTATGGAATGCTGAATACTCATTATGTGCTATTTCTTGTTATAAATAGTACCGGGGATCATATGCTCAGTCTTAAAAAGAAGTGCCTTATCACTGTGTGAATGAGTGTAGTTTTATGCCACTTTTAGCAATATTCCAGCAATATCATGGCAGAAACACAACACAAATGGGCTTCATGTGTTGTACCAATGTGGGGAAATCGAAAACACGTGTTCTGTGTGACGAGTTTAACGTTTAACCACTAGGCTATGATGCCCTATTACTACTGAATACCCTTGGTAGAGAATGTTGGTCTGGGTATGAATCACAACTCACGGGTTCTTCAGTCTGACCCTGGAAACAAATATAGGTACCCAATACAGTCTATCCAAGTGTTTAGTATTTGTATTTGCAACATAGCGGACTCCCAAAGACCTAATACTCCTTCTCGCTGTCCCAATCAACAACTCAGGCGTGTGATCATATGGAACAAACAAAATCGCTGTACATGTATTTACTTCAATTGTGTCATTGCTACTCTGGTAAGCAAAGTGGTGTTTTTGGAAACCAAAAATAATGGATCCATTAAGGATATGTGAAGAGTATGAACATTATGTACCATGCTGAATAAACTGTATGTGTGGTGACAGGCTACTACTTAACCATAACCACATATTTAAGAAAAGACTAAAAGAAACACAATTTCAATGTGTTTTATTTACAAAAGAATTATTTGTATCATAAAACTGAAAATAACTTTTTTACATTCTACCATCATCTTTCATGAACCCAAAGTCAGTAAATTCTCCTTATATTGTTAAATTACCATACAGCAATCCAGGGTGATGTAAATTAACAATTCCAAATTAAAACCTTAATCCTTTGATATTTTCATAAACAACTGGATTCCAGTACAATCAGGAAATGATACTTCATAAACCTGATGTTACCATCCTTAGTCCAAGATGGTGTCATTCAAGACATGGTCAATCCTCTGTAGGCAACAATTCTCCAATCTGTTGACAATGACATTGTCAGTACTTCACAGGTTATATACACTATGTCTGTCCTTTACCTGTGTGTTAACAAGACTGACATTCAGTGTCAGAGTCATTGGACAGTATGTCTTCTCAGGTGAGAAATATATTGTACACAAATCCATGAAGTATTGACAAAGACCTGCTTGATGATGCGTTCCATGCTTCTGTTGATGAACACATTCTCTCAAACACACATATCCACATTCTCTCAATGTCACTGAAGTCCCCAGTGTCTCTCACTGTTCCATGAGCTGAGTATCATCGCTGTTTGTTCTGAGCTGCCTCTTTGCGAGCTGCATCCTGCAGGAGCTGTGTGTCACACTCGTCCGCAGGCAGCTGAACATATCGCACAACAGATCCTCGAATGAAGCATGTCTTTACTGACAACTGAAAGGTAAGAGGAGTAAGTAGAGTCACAATCATAGTCACAATTATACAGCATATGTTATCTCTTGTCCCTTATAATAAAACACGCTGGACCCATTCACCATTTGTATCACAAGTTTGGTGAAGCCCTTTTATCACCAACCAAGCAGAGAGTGAGTGAGTGAGTGAGTTAAGTTTTCTGTGGCGGCTCCACTTAATATTCCAGCTATATGGCAGCGATCTGTAAATAATCAAGGCTGGAACAGACAATCCAGTGATCAACAGCATGAGCATTGATCTGTGCAATTGGGATCACGATGACATGTGTCAACCAAGTCAGAGAGCCTGACCACTCGATCCGTTGAGTATAGCCTCTAGCGACAAGCATGGGTTACTGAAGATCAATATTCTAACCCGGACCTTCACAGGTAACCAAGCAGAGAATTTTTTTCCCTCATAGGGTTTGAACTTGACAATTATTTAACATGTTAAAATTACTCTCCTGAATGAACATTTGTTGATCCACATTCAAAATAGCAGCCTCTTATCGAGTGAGAGCATGATAAATTTGTTAAATATCACTATTATCCTCTATGAATATGACAGTTTAACTGGGGAGGATGTTTTCATATTATTATGGCAAGGAGAGAAAAATATTTTGGTCCAAGGAGACAGATGAGGAAGTATGACATATGAACACTGGACTGACTGACTGAGTTTAGTTTCGCGGCTTTTTAGCAATATTCCAGCAATATCACGGCAGGGGACACCAGAAATGGGCTTAACACATTGTGCCCATGTGGAGAATCGAACCCGGGTCTTGGTGTGAATAGCGCTTTAACCACTAGGCTACCCCCACGCCCCCTATGAACACTGGAAGTGATCTTGCTCATTACAACATAGTACAACATAGTTTCCCCGGCTGGGGAGCTCACCATGTGTGGGTACTTGTCAGGGTCCGTAATGCTGATATCTGTCAACTTGATATTGAGAAACTGGTCCACAGAATGTAGGGTGCCACAAATACTGAAATACAAACATAACCTTACAGTCCTTATCAACATGTACAAGGGAATGCAAACACACAGGAGTAATTTTCCCCAGCCTCGAGAGTCGAGACTACTAAATTGTACTGAGGACAGGTGAGTGAGTTTAGTTTAATGCTGCACTCAGCAATATTCCAGCTATATGGCGGTGGTTTGTAAATAATCTAGTCTGGACCAGACAATCCAGTGATCAACAGCATGAGCATCGATCTGCGCAATTGGGAACCGATGACATGTGTCAACCAAGTCAGCGAGCCTGACCACCCGATCCCGTTAGTCGCCTCTTAGTCTTACGACAAGCATGGGTTACTGAAGGCCAATATTCTAACCCGGATCTTCACAGGTATGAGGACAGGTAAAATGCAATGATAGTAGTCTTTATTGACGTGTATCATTAGTGTGTTGTTCTTACGAACCAGTTCTTAATGTTATTTTTCTGCATAGTGAAACTGAATAGAACTTGACACAAAATGTAAACATAATAAACATTTTCAACAGATGGAGTCATCATTAGACACGAAGAATAGTTTCCAATAGTCATTTCACTAATCTTTAAAAAGACAAATTTCTAATGTTGTAGAGAAAATCAAGAAGCACTACTTGTAGTGAGTGAGTGAGCGCGGTTTTACGCCGCTTTTAGCAATATTCCAGCAATATCACGGGACACCAGAAATGGGCTTCACACATTTTACCCATGTGGGGAATCAGACCCAGGTCTTCATGGCTTAACGCTTTAACCACTAGGCTACCCACCAGTATTACAGAACCAGTCAATATAAACTGACTAACTACAGAATAGTTTCATACAGTTCATGCTGAGTGAGAGACACAACAGCAAGCATTCAGTGGATGATGCCAGGCCAAATGTTTCAAAAAAGAAAATATAATGCTGCTTCACACATTTTACATCTTTGGCATGTCAAGCAAATGTTTTTACAAGGCTGCCCCAATAGCATCAGAACAAATATACCTACCTCAAATCATTCTTTAACTCTACAACCACATCTTTCCCAACAAGGGACTTGAAAAAGGAATAGAACAGCTGGAATGACAAAATTGTCAAATTAATTTCAATGACAATAAACATGATGAACAATGAAGCTCTCACAAACAAGAGAGTTATCTCCCTTCTGCTGCTGAAATGTGACAGTAACAAGTTAACATGAACCAACAGTTGGCTGACAGTTTGTTGAAAGTCAGGCACTGATTGAATAAAGTATTTGTCTGTGCATGCTTATCTAACCTCAGTGGTTATCTATGCCCTTCAAACTAAACCAACCTACCAGTATACCATGATCGACCTGTTAACATGATAAAAACGAGCAAGCAACTTTTACGCTGCTTCTAAGCAATTTTCCAGCAAAATTGCGGTGGGGACAGAAATGGGCTTCACACATTGTACCCATGTGGGGAATCTAACCTGGGTCTTTAACGGCGTGTTACCCCAATCACTCCTAACATGGTGAATGCTTTAACTATGAGGGGCTACCCACGCTCCTAACCTAACATGGTAAAGGGGTCAGACTTAATGGTGAGTGTGAGGTGAAATGGGGTTTAACATCGTACTAAGAATATTTTGCTCATATGGTATGACGATGATGCGAATGCGTGTGTATGTGTGGCTGCTTGTACTAGCCCAGACTTAAGCTGGTTTTATAGTGCTAGCTCACTGAGATACAGTGCCTCAGTTAAAGCATGCATATCCCACTCAGACACATTTTACTGACTGGAGTCAATCAGTCCTTGTTATGTACCTGGTACCCTTAAAGAGCAGATGAGTCCATATCTGCAAACCAAAACTGTAGGTACTTATTCCCATTCAGCTAATTGCGAGTGGTATTGTGCACCGCGAAATATATGATACCGTGTATGGTCTTTTGTTATATAGCACAATCAAATATATCTCACACAACAGTATACCAGTTCCCATCAAAAAAGGGTACAATGCAGAATGGACCAGCCCTAGTCCCCCTGCCGACAATGACCCCTTCTGCATTATTAGGCCCATAACCATGATAACTAGGTCTGGGCCAGTACAACACCACTCTATTTTACAACACGATAATTAGCGGATCCTGACAGTTGAAAAGGGATACTATACTAGCCGCATAAAGAAACTGTGTACACAGAAAATGCCTTCAGAATTGGAATACAACACAGCAAAGACGAAATGATGTAGACACTTTATAAGCTGAAGTATCGGACCACAAGAAATTGTCAAAAGAACATGAACAATATCCGTAACGATGACGTCAGAAGTTCAAAATCGAGTAGGGGGTCACACGACGACGTCACAAAGTCAATAACGGGTATGACCACCATGTGCGTGAGCTTACAGCAGTGCATCGATTAAATTGGCGCATATAGAGGCTAGCAAATGAGCATTGAAGGCCTGGGGAATGGTCTGGGGCGTGGTCACTGCTGTCTGGAACCTGTATCTGAGATGAGTCACCGAATCCACCTGTCCTGTCTTGGCGTCGTTACGTCGGGAGCGCCCAGAGCGTGGGTGGTCAGCGGCGTCATTTCTGTTTCGATAACGCCTGACCCATGCAGATATCGTGTTATGATGGCATTGGACATGTGCTGCCACCTGTTGTTGGCTCATTCCTGCTCGAACCATTCCAATGGCTTCATGACGTTGAGCAGATGTTCATCTTGTGACTTCTCATGTGAATTGGTGAACGTTTGAATGACCAAAAATCAAGCTTTCAACAGTGACAGCAATTTCAGAGTTTCACATGTTGTGTGCATCTGTACGGGCTGCACGTGCAGTAACACATTGCAAGGACTTAGGCCACCGTCAATGACGTCACGTCGCCTGGCACCTGCATGAGCGTTTGATTGTCGCCAATACTTGCTATGTTCACAAATGTATTTATGTATAAAAACGCTGTGTGCCTATATATATATTTTCTGTGTGCACAGTTTCTTTATGTGGCCAGTATATTTGAAAAGAAAAGTGCAGTCTAGACTAATGCCTTAGTGAACATTCTGACTCGCTGAGTCGGAGAAATCAATGGACCCCACCACTTAATGATTTTACGACACTTCTTGTTATTATTTCATAAATTCTTTTATCTAATAAACAGATCAAGATAAAATGCAACAAATGGTGCACGTGTCGAGGAAAGAGTTCCTTCCATTGCCCCAACCCTAACCCTAACTCTTAAACCTAACCCTAAATTAAATTTTGGACTTTTTGTCATTTTGTGAGTTCTCTTGTAATTGTTGTGTTAAGTTTTGTTTAATTTTAGTATATTTATTAATATTATTTGGCATGGGGGAACAGCAGGAACTCTTACCCGTGTCGAAAACGTTGTCACTAAGAACAAACAAAAACCAATTAAATCCATTCTACAAGGAATGATGATGTCGTCACGTTTACGATTGAGTAACGAACTTACATGCACCTGCTACAAAAACAACGCTAACTTTAATACATCAAGATGTCGCCTTAATTGGGTCTGAATATATAATTATCAACCATAGTTTGCAGTGATGTACCGAAGCGTAGTATTTAAAGCGATGGAAATATCCCGTTACGGTTGTATATATGACAGTCTATCACGAAATCAAATTACCATGCTGAATATGCCGCTTCTAAGAAGTCTCGTAAGGGCGAGATCTGTCCGAAAACGAACGCTTCGACCCCACAAAATTCCAATTATGAAGTGTTAAGATAAACCGTGCCGTAATTGTTCACTTTCTATGTTTTATGTTTGTAACTAAAGGCAAAAATCGTGCTTAATGACTTTATTAACAAATAAATATGGTAGGTCACGTGACATCTGAAACGAGATTTCGTCTGCCATTTTCCCAAACAGAAGAGCTAAGTCATACCCAAGGCTCGAAGATGTTGAGAATGGATCCTCCGATTGTCCAGGGTTATCCCGAAGGAGGAGAAATGTATCAGTATGGGAATCCAAAACAGGCTCACTTCAATCCATACACATTTAACGGCGGGTAAGCAGGAATTTGTTAACATAAACTGTCGTGACTTGAACTAAGTTGAACACTATATAATATTGAATGATGTTGGAATATCTTAGATGTAGGGCCAATTCACAATATTCTTCAATCTGAAATGTATAATAAATGAAAACAAAATGATTATTACACATTAATATTAGTCTTCGTTCAAGAAGCAAAATTGTGCAGTGAATGTTAGTTGTATGTATACATTGTACTCATCATCTGGACCCGACAATGTTATGATAGGTTTGTATTCCAGATTCACAATATACTTATCATCCTTTGACACAGGTCTGTCTCTCTCTCATACGATTGGTTAATACATCTTTGAACAGCATCACTTTAAACTCCACCCTTCACATAAAATGTAGGCATGTGTTGTAAGATAACTACAATTCCTAATTTTCATTCACACAACCATTGTGACAAGCTCATGCTTTGTTGTCTTTCAGCACTGTTCTGGCAATAGCAGGAGAGGATTTTTCAGTGGTAGCGTCTGATACTAGGCTCAGTGAAGGATTCTCTATTCACTCCCGAGAGATGCCTAAGACCTATCAGATGTAAGTGTATTGTTGGATCAGGGTTTCTTTTGTGGACATTTTCAGATGGCAGTGCTCGCTCGGGTTGTAACGAGGGGTGCTGCATCACGCAGACCTTGTGAACTTTTGAATGATGGCATGTGTTTAGGATTAAGTTATCTTGTATAAGTTAGTGACATGTTTTTCAATTGTTCAGATGTACTGAGTTGATACTTTGTGTACCCACCTGTGTGTCTGGCCAAGACTTCATATTTACAGACTGCCCTGATGTTACTAGTTCTATTAATAGTATTATTTCAAGTGGAGATGTATTAACGATAGAAAATGGAACAGGTGAGGTGAGGTGAAATTGGGTTTAACGGCCATGCTTGAGAATATTTCCGTCATGACGACGGCGTGCATGCATATGTGTATGTGCGGCTGCTTGTACTAGCCCAGACTGAAGCTGGTTTTATAGTGCTAGCCCACTGAGATACCATGCCTCAGTGAAGCATGAATACCCCACTCAGACACATTATAAGACTCCGAGCTGACCAGTCCTTGATGTACCCATTAATGCCGAGCGCCAGGCAGGGACCAACAAGTACCATATTTTAACGTCTTTTGGCATGATGCGGCCCGGGATCGAACCCATGACCTTCCACTCATGGGGCGGACGCTCTAACCACTACACCACGGAGGCGGTCTGATAATGGAACAGTGTTGTATTTTAGACTATTGATAGATTTTGCACGGTTTGAATTGGAAGAATAGGAAATGGTCTTTTTGAAAACTAACACAATATTAAAAGAAGAGTTGAACAAAAGTGTACTTTAAGAAGTGCTAAATGTTCACTGGAATGCATCAGTAATATGAAACTCATTTTGCAGGACTGAAAGCACTGTTTTGGGTGCCTGTGGTTTCCATGGTGATGTTTTGACACTTACTAAAGTACTGAAGGCCAGATTAAAGGTAAGTTCTAATGTCTCTATTTGGCGCTATCATGATGTCAAAAGAATGAGTTGTGTATGTACCTAGAACATTACTGGAGATGATTTGTTATCATCTGTACTCTTTCAGTGAATTTCTGAATAATTCCATAAAACTCTCCACATGTTTAAATATTTGCAGTTCTGGTGGACCAGATACATTCACATTTGTACATGCTAATACTTATTTTGTATGTAAATACAGTTATCTTGAACAATGTGTTAAACCCCACTTTACTACTGACCTCTTTTGCCATCTTCTTCAGATCTATGACCATGATCACCACAAGAAGATGACGACATCTGCTATAGCAGCCATGCTGTCCACGATGTTGTACTACAGACGGTTCTTTCCATACTATGTTTACAACATAATTGGAGGACTTGATGATGAAGGTAAAACAAGTTTATCAAACACGGAAAAGTAGAATCTTGTCATGCAAAAGTTAACGATTTTATTCCATTTTAGATTTACACATTGCAATTCAAAAGCCAAAATCTGGAGACAAAAGTTCAGTTATGCAAATCAAAGAATAAGTAACTAGTTGCCATTTAGTTTTGCCAACTGATCAAATGCATTGTTTACAGTGTTTATCAAAAGAAGTGAAAGAATGTCAGATTCTTTAACGTAACTGTATTTTCCAAACTATACATGGCACGAAAATCAGTTTTAATGAGGTCATCTTGTCTCTCTTGCAGCCTGCAGAAAATCATGTTAATTTAGGCTTTTTTTAATGGAAATTGATGAACAATACATATATATGTAGACCTTAAATACATGTAGATATGTATGGCCTTATGTATCTCTTAGCTGGCAATTAACCCAGACAGTGTCTATTATGGCTCCTGCATCCTGGCATAAAGACAAGAAAATCAGGGAAGCTAAAAGCAATTTTTGTCTTCTGAAAGTTAGTAATTTTGGGGAATATGTTCAATAGGGAAAGTTTACATGTGCATTCTGAGGTAAAGTGCACTCTTGTGTTACAGGTAAAGGGTGCGTCTACAGTTTTGACCCAGTGGGCTCCTATGAGAGAGAATCATACAGAGCTGGGGGGTCAGCCAGTGCCATGCTGCAGCCCCTCCTGGACAACCAGGTCAGTTGGTCATACACAAGGAAGTATAGTTTGTTGTTGCTTTATGTCAATCATCAATACATAGTCTCAAAGTGATGGACCCGTGAAGATCCGGGGTAGAATAGGTCTTCACCAACCCATGCTTACCACAAAAGGCTTACTATGCTTGTCTTAAGAGGCTTAATTAACGGATCAGGTGGTCAGGCTCACTGACTTGGTTGACACATGTCATCGGTTCCTAATTGTGCAGATCGATGTTCATGTTGTTGATCACTGGATTGTCTGGTCCAGATTCGATTATTTACAGACCGCTGCCATATAGCTGGAATATTGCTGAGTGCGGCGTAAAACTAAACCCACTCACTATGTCAGTCATCAATACATGGTCTCTAAATAATGAACTCTGAACCTGAAAGTCCTGTGGTACCAATGGGTAGAAAGAATGAATTTATGTAATGTCACTGAAATGGGGAAATTGCACATCCTGTAACTGAGTTATTATGAAGGGAAGGCACAGGATTCTCAACTGTCTGACTCCATGGATCTTCTAAGTTATTATTCTTGCCCTGTCAGTGTTGTGTCTATGGTAAACATGTACAACCTTCAAACCTAAACATTTGGATTTTCTCTCATTAAACATGTGAAAGTGACATGCTGTGATATAATTGAAATACTGTTCAACATGGCAGTGTCATTTTCAACATAATACATAGTTTGGGCTATTTGCCTTACAGGTTTATGATTTCACTGGTATTACCATGTACTTGGGCTCACTTGAGTTGGGAACATGGAGTTACCTCCCTTTTTTCTTTGTAACCAGTTGAAGTCAGTGACGATTCAGTTGTTGCAGCAGACTTTTTTTTAATATGACCTGAACATAGCCCATATCATACCTTCCAGTAGAATTTTGTGTATATATATTGACCGTTGTTAGCTGGATTTGCTAGACCAAACCGAAATGTTACAAGACTCAGGAATCAGAGTGAAGATTGAAACAGTGCTGACACCTTCAAAGTACTAAACTGGTTTATGAAATGTTTTCATTTCAGATCGGCTTCAAGAACCAAGAGGGTGTAACCAAGGTTCCCCTGTCCCAAGAGAAGTGTGTAGCTCTCGTTAAGGACGTCTTCATCTCTGCCGCTGAGAGGGACATCTACACGGGTGACGGCATCATCATCAACATCATTACCAAGGACGGCGTGAGGGTGGAAAGATTCCCACTACGGAGAGACTAAACAATCTAGATCATTTTCAGTTATCATCACTACAACATGTAGACAGAAATATCAAGTGCTGTTCCATTTCGTGTATATGTGATGTGCTTCTACATTACTGTAAATACCATGAAACTATGATTAAAAATCATAACATTTGTTTTGTCAGATCATTATTCCCTTATTGGGTAACACAGTTGTGAAAGTATTGCTCGTCACACAAACATCATTGGGTCCAAACGTCATTCTGATTATTACAATTTTTTAGTCAGCTAAAATGTAACCTATGCTGGTGGGTCCCTGAAGTGATAATCCTCTTTGATGTATATTACTCGAGACTCCTTGGACATCAATACGTCATGATTAGAGCTGCATTCTGGCAAAAACCATGATAATCTGTTTGTACAATCAGAGCCACCCATAGTGTATAAAACTTGATTTAATCTGCAGACAAGCTTCATTTCACTGATATACTCATGGAAACGAATAAGGAAACACATGAAAGTACACGTGTTCTTTTAGTTATTTCCAGAATTTCACCCACAGTGCAATACATACCTTGTGAAGAAACCTGGAAAAGAATAAAGCAACACTTGTGCGTTTGTGTGTTCCCTTATTTATTTCCATGAGTATATGATGACATTACAGACGTATGGACCTGACAAAACGTTGGTTGTGCAAACATTTTATCTTATTACTATCCACTAAAATATTATGATAAGTCAAAATACATATTTTGTAATGTTACAATGCAAAACTCAGCACGATGTCAGTCCCCTGAATCTATTATGGCGCCAGGTGTAGAAAGAATTACCGGCACCCCATTGCTGTCCCAGGAAACAAGACTTGTGAAGATCCCCGTAAGGGTCAATATTTCCTGGATTATACCCCTGAACAATCACTCATGTGAAATCTTGGCAACAGTATATGAATAATCTTCCAGTTACCATGTCCTTTTTCAAAACGCCAGATCAAATAGAAATATTTTTACAGACAGACCCGTGAAAACCCGGGTTAGAATTGGTCTTCAGTAACCCATGCTTGTCATAAGAGGCGACGAATCAGGTGGTCAGGCTCGCTGACTTGGTTGGCACATGTCATCGTGTCCCAATTGCGTAGATCGATGCTCATGCTGTTATTCACTTGATGTCTTGTCCAGACTTGATTATTTCAGATCGCAGTCACACAGACGGAATATTGCTGAGTGCGGCTTTAAACAACAAACAAACCGCCCATCTTTGGAGACAAACTGGTCATTAAGAGGCGATCAGGGATCACGTTTCTAAGACTAAGAATTTATAATAACTAGTGTAGTGGTTGAAGCGTTTCGCTTGACACACAAAGACTCTGGTTCGCTTCTCCACATGGGTAAAAAGTGTGGAGCTCATAACTGTTGGCCTGCCTTGATATTGTTGAGCCACCCCCGCAATGTTTTCCCAATGACCAAGAATGTAAGTAAGCACTATACATCCAACATTAAAGAAAAACGCATCGAACAAGACACATGGCTGGTGGCAGTGACTGAATATTGTGTTATGACGCAATCTGTGCTTTCCAAGCTTATCGGGGCAGCCTGTTGATTGTGCAGCCTAGGTAAGCCAGGCAAATAGGTGATAGCATAAACTGCAATACAGGTATATCATTATCACCTATCAAGGGTATCAGATCTCTATTTTTGTATGATATATACTCTGGTACCGTTTCTTTCGTAGCTTCATCACTTGAAGACCGCCTCTGTGGTGTAGTGGTTAGAGCGTCCGCCCGGAGAGCGGAAGGTCGCGGGTTCGATCCCCCACCGCTTCATACCAAAAGACGTTAAAACATGGTACTTGTTGGTCTCTGCCTGGCGCTCGGCATTAATGGGTACAACAAGGACTGGTCGGCTCGGTGTCAGTATAATGTGTCTGAGTGGGGTATTCATGCTTCGGGGCCGTGGGGTAGCCTAGTGGTTAAAGCGTTGGCTCGTCACGCTGAAGACCCGGGTTCGAATCCCCACATGGGCACAATGTGTGAAGCCCATTTCTGGTGTCCCCCGCCGTGATGTTGCTGGAATATTGCTAAAAGCGGCGTAAAACCAAACTCAGTCAGTCAGTCAGTATTCATGCTTCACTTCGGCATGGTATCTCAGTGGGCTAGCACTATACAACCAGCTTAAGTCTGGGCTAGTACAAGCAGCCGCACATACACATACACACGCATGCATGCATTTCACATGAGTGAAATATTCTCAAGCACGACGTAAAACCCAGTTTCACCTCACCTCACCTCATCACTTGAAACAGAATCGCGAAACATCGTGATGATTTATAACGTAGAAAACGGCTTATATACTGAAAAGAATTATGTTTTTAAGCCATCCCGCTGAAAAGGAAATATTGCTTGGTTATGATGAAATAAAAACTGCAACGACCGCTTTCAATTTCAAATTTAGTGCTGAGAGGAGGAGGCTTCCGAATCGAATGCTTCCAGGTTATAATACCCGTCACGGATCAACCTGCTTTCCAGCGTCAATTTGACCGGTTTTTCAACCACGTTTTAAATCTACGACTGAGTTGTTTATTTTATGACGCTATTTTTGGTTATTTTAGAACAAAATAAGAATTTAATTTATTTCATCCGAATTTAATTATCTTCAGTAAGGATTGGTCTATATTAGAATATATTATTGATGTAAACTGAATCGTTTGGTGACGTACAAAAGGAATACACCGTTACATTGTTTTTTCATTGATAAAATTGTTATTGCTTAGTCTGTCATACAGGCCCTGAAGCAAATATATCCAAGAAAGCCCACGCAAGTCAAGAAACTGTGGCAATTTCCACAGCTTGAAAGTCTCGGGCCTCCTTTTCATTATATATAATTTTTTTACCATGAGTTTTTTTCTGTAAAATAGGTTCATTTCAGGGACTAGTTGTTAGTCTAGTTATTGCTCATAAAATGAATATATTGCACACTGCAAAATTTGTTACCAATGAAAGTAATACTCATTTAGGTGGACTGGTATGTTTTCACTTCATAAATATCTGCACACATGCCGCTGTGTTGGCTAATCAATGCTACAACTTATAATTTCGATGTTTCGTGACTGAAGTTGCACGGTTGGGCTGTGGCGCAACCATTCGTGACCAGCTTGTGATATTCCGAGACAGCTGAATGTGTTCGTGCAGTTGACAAAAAGAGGCAAGTGGGGACGAATGCACATGAACTTTTCGGCCCAGATACGCGGAGACGGTCGTGCAAGTCATTGCTCAATCCCCACTCCTCAAAGATGACAACACGCTTTTCAAGGTAACTATCTTGTATGCAGCAACAAACTATTTGCATGTCGATGTATATACATCAGATATCACCTATATCATATTCTGACTAGCGTGATCAACAACGTTGATTGTTCCGGGCGGAAATTGCCTTACCGTAATGTTTCCATTGAAGGTGCAATTTGTTTTTGTGTTGATTTTTCTCTTCTTGTGTCATGCCGCGGTACCTACAAATAATCAAATCCGGACCACACAATCCACCTCGTTGTTATTGTGGGGGGGTGGGGTGTGTGTTTATTTAAAGAATCTACCCTCTTCATAATGTGAAATGTAGATTTATTTGGAATCAAGAAAGGAGTAATATTTTACAACTAATCTGACCTCAACAGAATAATTGATTCATGATTTTTCAAGCCCTTAATGTTGTTTTTATTAGGTTGTATCTCATGTTTAGTGTGTAGCCTAATTATGACATGGCGCGGAAGATCGGGTTAGTACAATGTTCAAGACATGAGGATTACCGATTAGAATAAGCAAAATGTGCTGGTCTAAGTGTGAGTGAGTCAGTATGGTTTTACGCCGGTTTTAGCAATATTCCAGCAATATCACGGCGGGGGACACCAGAACCTGGCTTCACACATTCTACCCATGTGGGGAATCGAACCTGGGTCTTAGGCATGACGAGCTCACGCTTTAACCACTAGGCTACCCCACCGCCCCGCTGGTCTAAGAAATGTTATTTGACAAAAGTAGTTAAATATTATCACCATCACTACCATGCAACAATCATTATGTGAAAAAAATAACTCGGAAAAAATAATACCATAATTTAGAAAACTAATTTCCTAAGAATGATACTTTACATTGAAATACAGGGATGGTTTAGTCCCGATTTTGACAGTCCCAAATTTGACAGTGAAATTTGACACTTCTGTAATTGATCTAGCCAGTTGTCCCAATTTTGACAGTGAACTTTGGTACACTTGTCAGCTCTTCTCGTGCCCGTTTTTTAACACATTACTGGTAAGGATACAGGAACCAATAGAGCTTTGGTCAGGTGGATGTGTATGCTGTTTATCCCCTCTTCTGACAACAGTCCCATCTGCTGTTGTAGTGACTGAGGCTGGACACTTTGTTGTCAGGCACTGACATCTCCATATAATGGTACCATTCCTGTTGGCAGTTCGTCTCAGAAACCTATATCCATCCAGCAACAATTCTCCACCTGGCCTCCTACCATCTAAAATTGTACCTTTCTCAGCCATAACGAAATACGATAAGAAAATGTGATGCATATGTGGGTATATATTCTTTGCAAGTAATTGGTAAAGCTACTTCTCCCCTCCTGCTCATGACGTAGACTTGTTTAAATATTGCATTCACACATCTCAACGGATAATGTAGACTCAGGCTTAGTCTCTGAATATATATAATTTTGATAGTAACAAACAAGCCCATATATATTGAAAAGGAGCCCTAGGGAGACCAGAGATTCAGAACCTGAGAGAATCTAGACTTGCTTTATTTAGGGCTTTAGCACAGCAGAGAGGGCTTGGCAGTAGGGAAATTAATGTGGTTCAGGGACTGTGAGACAGACTACGGATAATGCTGCTTCTCTCATCCATTTCTCTCAGTTGATTGCGGTATTAGTGCTCAAGAATGTTACTCGTTCTGTACCTCTCTCAGGTGATTACATTTACATGATTGCCCTTAATTGGTACAGCAAGTTATCCCAGTTTTGACAGCGAAACTTCACACCTTAACGAATCAGTGATCAAGAGGCTGTCAAAAGTGAGATACTACCACAGGGATGACAGATGTAATTATATATATGTCACAATCGCCACATTAACCTGGTCATGTTATTTCTTTCGTGGTATGAAATTTTTACATTTTTTATCAAATACGTGATTCCTGTATTCAATGTAGTGTATCATTCTTAGCAGAGACCATATAATAAATCTGTCATATTGTCTCTGTTCTTAAGAAATGAGTTTTCTATGTTTTTCGAGTTATTTTGACCTAGGCACATAAATGATTGTTGCATGACAGCGCTTGATAATAATTAAGATGATATTACCATGCTAGTTCTACAAGATGTGAGCTAAATATCCTTTGTATTTCAGAATTGTTAAACAGCTGGGATATGAGAGAATACTACTGGCGCCCAACTCAGGACGAGTTATCGTTCCTGGCTTGCCTTACAGTGCCTTTGACGCGCAATGTGAGTCAGTCTGTTTGTCGTATGGGCTGGAACGACCATATGAAGAATGTGGTTAATGTCGGATGTCGTTTATGAACTGGAATCGTAATAAAATGTCCTCACACTTCAAACTGACATGCCATGAGGGCACTGAACGGCGTGAAACAATACTCAGTCACTCTGGTCAAATATCAAGTAACCACAAACCTCAAGTTCATACTATATCAGTACATTGCGTTGAAAATCGCCAATTGTTCATTGGCTTGCGCGGGGGCGGTGGGGTAGCCAAGCGGTTAAAGCGTTCGCTCGTGACGCCAAAGATCCGGTTTCGATTCCCCACATGAGTACAATGCATGACGCCCATTTCTGATGTCCCATGACGTGATATTGCTAAAAGCGGCGTAAAAGTAAATCTTACTTACTCATTAGCTAGTGAATTGGAAAGAGCGTTTGACCATAGAGGGTGAGGTTGGTGGTTCGAACCCTGGCCGCATCACACCAAAAGACGTTAAAGATGGTACTTGTTGTTGACCTGGCTGTCGCTCGGTATTAGGGGGTAAACAAGGACTGGTCGGTTCTAGGTCAGAATACAGTGTCTGAGTGTGGTGTGTTGTGGCATCAGTGTTATCCTGACGCATGGTTTGTTAGTTTGGTTGTACCACGTTTGTAGCAATAATCTGGAAATGGACTTCACACGCTGTTCCCATAAAATCGTGAACCGGCATTACTCCGGACTAGTACAAATCTTTCTGTGAGGCTATGAAAGTTTGATTGATACAATGCGTGCCGCTATTTCTGGTGACCCCGGTCGGGATATTGCTGGAATATTGCTAAAAGCGGTGTAAAAGTAAAACTCACTTACTCATTAGGTAGTGAATTGGATAGAGCGTTTGCCTGTTGAGGGTTAGGTCTGTCGTTCGATCCCCGGCCGCATCATACCAAAGTCGTTAAAAGATGGTACTTGTTCTTACCATGTCTGGCGCTCGGCATTAGGGAATAAAACAAGGTCTGGTCGGTTCTAGGTCTAGGACCACTTCATGGGGAGGTTTCGTTTATAAAATCGTTTAGTTATAACAGAACGGATCCAGGATTTTGGAGAAAGAAAGGGGGAGGGGGGAGTGGTGCACATAAATCATGAAGTACAATGTTTAGGAGGAAATACTCCTCGGGTAAAATTATTTCGGGGGATGGAGTATTTCCCATTTCACCATCAACCCTCTGTCCCACGATGGCGTAGCCAAGTGGTTGGAGCGTGCGCTTGCCACGCCCAAAACCCGAGTTCTATTCACTATGTGAGTGCCTATTTCTGGTATACTCCGCCGTGATATTGCTTGAATATTTCTATGCGCATCATAAAATCACACTGACTGACTCACTCACTCTGTTGACAGCCTTCCCGAAGCCTTGGAACGTCATGAATCTAATGGACTCCATGCACACAAACCTGTCCCCTAGAGGCACCTAACGGCGGAGACTCATTACTCTGCTTTCATGAACTCTGCAGGAAATATCTGTCATTTATCGTCACTGTACAAGTGGACTTTCACCATAAACTGTACGATGAGTCTGTCATCAAGGCCCCCCTGTGTGTCGACAGCCACATCAGCAACGTCGGGAGCAGCAGCTACGTCATGGAAACGGAGATGAAGGCGGCCGAAATTCCGTCGGCACGATATAGAAGTCAATTAGTCCTAGTGGATACCACTTCGAAAAAGCCGATTAAGATGCCCCAGCAGTGGAAGAATACATACGGCCACCTATGTAAAGGAGGCCAGCCAATGAGGTTCCACGCTCTTGAGAGGCCATCTGTCCAATCACGTGTAAGCAAGGTGTCAGTAGGGGAAGTACCTAACAGCGATACGGAGGCAAACGGCCATCTTAATGTTTCAAATTATTTGAAATATTGTTGTGATGGTTTATTTAAAGGGAGAAACGGGAGACACGCCGGTCCAACTATGGTGGCTGCCTAGGGCCACATTCGACTTAAAATTATTAGCTCAAATCTGCTTCCATGTGGTACCGGAAAGAATGTACTCAAACTTTCATGGAGATGACGATTGAACTTGAACTTGAGATACACGAAAAGGAACCGGACAGTTTGTGTGTAGACATGTTGAGAAATGGGGACAGTGTATTCCAGTGTATACTGGAGCTATACAGGGCAAAACATGTGCGAAGCTCCCTGTAGTAGTTTGATGGAATGGACTGTGTTGTAATTCAATGTAAAATGTACCAGCGTCAGAGAGTTTGAATGTGAACGTCAGGTCAAAACAGAACAGTTCTAGCCTGGTCCAGCAAATTTCAGCAATAGATACAAACACGAACTTCACTGACTATCGAAAGATCAATATTTCGTGGATTGTACTTCTGAACAATCACTGGTGTGAAAACTTGGCAACAGTAACTTACCATGTCTTTTTTCAAAACGTCAGATCAAATAAAAATATTTTTACAGATAGAACCGTGAAGATTCTGGTTAGAATTGGTCTTCAGCAACCCACGCTTGTCGTAAGATTTGATTATTTACAACCGCCGCCATAATATATATAAATGTTTGAAATAAACACCCATATCAGTGAATAGGCATTATAATATCAATGAATAAGGCATTATCAGCAATTAAGCCGTACAAAATGTAAAATAACGTCAAGATGAACATATGTTATTGAAATATGTATATGTTCAATGTTTCTTCACCAAACTTGGCACATAGATAGGTCTTGTGTTGAGCTGGTGCCTTTTGGTGGTTTTGGATTTCCGACTAAAATATTTTTTGCATTTCCATGGCAACAGGTTTTACGTTGACTGAAACTGATGGTAGTGTTCCTTTCCGAATCAATACTTAAAAACCTTTCAATACTCTAATTCCACTCCACTTTGTGGGTATTCATGAACCTAATGACATAAATGAACAGTATCACTCTATTTCTTCACCGGCATTTCTGAGGTACATCAAACCTGCACTCGGGCAGCCTGTAGTTGATACAAGCATAAATAGTTTACATATGTGTTTTCGTCAGATCAATGTGAAGAACAGTGTACATAACATTTGACATAGTCATAACTAGTTGACATATTCATGAAGAGTATTTTACTGTTACGGGGCATATTGATGACTGTGTCTTCATGTTTAGTTTGTATTTTCACAAAACCAAATGAAGCCTCATACAATCAACGTCCTTACCCCAGCCACCGTATAAATATTATAATAATATATTTTTTTGTTTGCGTGTCCGAGTCGTGCACTGTCGTATGACCTATAAATAGGATTTGAACCCGCACCTGGCGGATCAAGGCAGCAGGAGAGTTAACTCTCCACGTCGACTGCACTGTGATTATTTTATTGTGTAACCTAGGTGGTAATCATCTGTGATGTGTATTACTCTAGACTCTCCTCGGACATCACTATGTCACGATTAGAGAAGTCTGTCTCACAGTCCCTGAACCACTTTATTTTCCCCACTGCCAAGCTCTCTCTGCAGTGCTAAAGCCCTAAATAAAGCAAGTCTAGATTTCCCCAGGTTCTGAATCTCTGGTCTCCCTGGGGCTCCTTTTCAATTTAAATGGACTTGTTTCTTACTGTCAAAGTTATACATATTCAGAGACTAAGCATTAGTCTACGATTAGAGCTGCATTCGGGCAAAGACGATGTGAAACTGTTTGTACAAGCAGAGCCACACAGCGTGTGTGAATGTTGATTTAATGCCCAGACAAGACGAAGAAGAAGAAAAATATTTTATTAATGTGTCACATGCGGTACATAATGACACGTTTAAAACGTTTACACAGCATCCGGCCATTTGGCCTAGGAGACACATGTATATATAACAGTAAAACATTTAAGATAAATAAAAATGCATATTGCACATGTTACATTTCACCGCTATGAGGACCCTACTGATAACACAGACGTATAGACCTGAACAAGCTGGTTGTTACATTTCACCGCTATGAGGACCCTACTGATAACACAGACGTATAGACCTGAACAAGCTGGTTGTTACATTTCACCGCTATGAGGACCCTACTGATAACACAGACGTATAGACCTGAACAAACACAGACGTATAGACCCTACTGATAACACAGACGTATAGACCTGAACAAGCTGGTTGTTACATTTCACCGCTATGAGGACCTTAATGATAACACAGACGTATAGACCTGAACAAGTTGGTTGTTACATTTCACCGCTATGAGGACCCTACTGATAACACAGACGTATAGACCTGAAAAAGCTGGTTTTGCAAACATTTTATCTTGTTACTGTCCACTGGAAAATTAGAATAAGTCAAAAGAAATGACTTTTGTTATGTTACTAGGCAAAACTGTGGATAACAAGCGAACATATCATGTATATGAAGGCCTGTTTCTTTCTGCTGCAACTTTCGTGTCCTCAGAATGCCATTTCATCTTGTACTTTTGATTTAATGGAAATGTAGTTCAGTTCAGACAAGGAAAAAACAATTTTATTATAATCCGATGTTAGTTCTTGCTGTGGTTAAACATTTAACGGTTTAGAACATCACTTTGATGAGGCTGAGGGAAGACCTATGAGTCTTAAACAACACTGCACGATTTCAGTCACTGGAATGTATTATGAGGTCAAGTGTAGAAAATATGGTCTGCAGCCAATTGCGAGTCGAAGGAGACATCTTTGTAATTCTTTGTTATGAGCGAATCAGATGTGACTTTTCTAAGATTCCGAGAGTTTAATAACAAATAAATACAGTGGCTAAAGCGTTTTCTCGTCAAACCAAAACCATGCTTCGATTCCCCAAATGGATAAACAGAGTGAATCCCATTTCTGTTGCACTACCATGATATAGCTGTCACTCCTATGCATAGCAATAGACCGATCCAGTCCCGGCCGATAAGCCCCGCCCACTTCGTTTTTGACGCTAGGGGGGACAACCACTGGCAAATCACAATGGCGTCACCGCCGGCGAAACGTTACGTGATTGCGAACGTTGTTGATGAATTCTGCTTGTGATACTTTGGTATCCGTCGTTTGTGAATGT